TGGAAAACTATGGCGAGATTGAAAAATCTAGCAGTTTATCAAGTGGTCTTGAACTGACAATTGCACCACGAAACTCGGTGGTGCAATCAGCACACCACGGTAGCCCTAGTAGGGGGCAGTGAAACTTAATGGGCAAAGTTGTTAATTTGCAAAGTTTAATTTGCCTTGCTTGTTTAGACGTTAAGATGTGGATGGAGTGTATAAATAAAGGCCCACAAGCGTATTAAATTGCATAAATATTGCCATACAGCCATAGCTCTAGATCTTTTTGAATGTAAATACTAGCAGTTTATATTATGAGCAAAATAAATAAAATTCTCAACATTTTAGGTTAAATGTTCCAGGGGTTGTTTGCATAGTATGTTGATGAGGTATATCTCATTTAGTCAAGTTGTGTAAAACATTCATGAGGATTTAGGAGCAAGCACAGAGACAACTGGGATAGGTATTGTGTTTACACTACAAACCTACACCTGTCCAAGCTGTTTATTGGAACTTACCTTGAGTGACCTGAGAATGATTTCAGGTAAAGCATTTGTGTGTATAAACATGTTTGGATTGTTTAATCCCAAGACCAATTTCCATGGCAACATGGTAAATCATGTGTGTATATGTATGGTACATGTATGGGTGTATTTTTGTGTATTTATACACCATACTTTGCCGGGCTAATTTTAGATGAGTTTTCAGTGAGACCATCAAATGATGTTTGCCACATATTTTTCAAATGTCATTGACTTTTAAATATCAATATCAATACCAATACCTAATCGTCCTCACACTGAAGCCCTGGGAACGAGGTTGTACCATCTGTACTGTAATCAGCCCAACAAATTGCAATGTGCAACCATGCCTTTAAATTGTCCAATTTGTTAGACTATGTCTGCAACTGGTATCAAATGCATTGTATGCAGCCAGATGTAAATCCACAGTATACCCCATTCCTTAGTGTAAACATAGTATATTTTGGCAATCAAGGGCAATAGCCTTCATAGTTCAAAACTCAAAAGTAAGGTGAATCACAAACATCAACAGGTGAACCATGCATGAGATGAAATTAGTTTGGTCTGGTTTGTGGTTTATATAATTTAATATTGTCAGCCAGTTACAACAATAGAGCTCTAAAATATATGTTTTTATCTTCACCATATTTTGCATACTAAAAAGCACTCATGCATATTAATTTATATTCCTTCTATTGACAAAATTTTAGAAACCTACAATCATTAAATATTTTCCAGTTAATTTTCTCCTCTGAGGTAATATGTATCATCAGTACAAATAAATAGTAGTTTCAACATTCCATATTTATAAAATTCAATGTATTATTAAAATATCAAGAATATAAAACTTTATATTCTTGATATTTTAATAATACATTGAATTTTATAAATATGGAAAATATTTAATGATTGTAGGTTTCTAAAATTTTGTCAATAGAAGGAATATAAATTAATATGCAATATGCATGGGTGCTTTTTAGTATGCAAAATATGGTGAAGATAAAAACATATATTTTAGAGCTCTATTGTTGTAACTGGCTGACAATATTAAATTATATAAACCACAAACAAGACCAAACTAATTTCATCTCATGCATGGTTCACCTGTTGATGTTTGTGATTCACCTTACTATTGAGTTTTGAACTATGAAGGCTATTGCCCTTGATTGCCAAAATATACTATACTATGAACTTGGCCAGTTTCTTTGACTTTGGCTTTGTTGTCAGAATACTTTTCTTTCAAACTGCAAAAAGGCAGTACATTTCATGATGTGCATCCAATACCAGACATATATTTTCAACCATTTGAAATAAACCATGACCAGGAGACTTTGTATTAACTTTCAAGAGGTCCTGAGGAAACTCGCCAGCTAAAATGATAAATATATAATACCGTTTTCGAGGAAAAATAATTATTATCAACGCAGTGATCATTAGGACAAAAAATCTTTCTCAAATGTCACGCTCGATGGGCAGGCCTTTCAATTTCATTGAGTATAGTACAGCAATTTCCTCATTTGCATCCTCATGTCCGCCATGTTTGTTACAAATTCTGCCAGGCGCTTCGTTTCCTGCAACCTCCCCAAGCACCCCCGCGCGCTCGAGCCACTGATCTATATAAAAACACTGTAGTGTGCCTATTTTTAGCGCCTGGGTACGAGGCTGAGTTAAGCCACTGTACCTAATTTATTTGACAGGCTGTAAACTGTGGTGAAGGATTGAATAGATTGGATCAGCGGTATTGGGGCTAGCCGGTTTCCCATAGCAGTTTTTTTCGAAGATAACTTTTTTCGTGTTTAGAATGATGTCATATACGGAAAATTGATAAAGCTGGATGTTGTTCTTTTTTTCATAATTTGTAAACAATTCCTGGTATACCCTATTGTTTACAAATAAGCATTATATCGCATGAGATTATTTATAAATAAAAATTTTTACAAAATTGCTTATTTATAAATAATTACTTCTATAATACTACTTATTTATAAATAATCACTTTTACAAACAGCTTATTTATAAATAATCATTTTTACAGAATCATATTTATAAATAATCATTTCTGCGAAATTGCTTATTTATAAATAATCACTTTTACATAACTGCTTATTTATAAATATTCATTTCTAGAAAACTTCGTATTTATAAATAATCATTTTTATCACAGAAGCAGATTTGTTTTTATGCGCAACTTCAATGCGCACTGACCAGCAATCCAAACTTCCGGTGGGTGGGGTGTTTCCCGCCATTCCGCCAACTGTTGTGTTTGTCGAAAGAAAATTAGAAATTCACGAGAATCAGAGTCTGAATATATACGGTTTTGCCCGATTTGTTTTTGAATAATGAACCGTATGAACTCCGAAGAGTTGGGAAGAGTCGTAGCCAGTGCCATCTCAAGTTATTTGCAACCCAATGGTCAACGACAGGGAAGAACCGAAGCCAATTCCACCTCGACCAGTACTACATCGAGTGTTACCGCTGCGCGGGGTCAGGAAAGAACTGCACAACTCTACACTATATTTATAATTTCCCTACATTAAAACCTTCTATTTACAATGACATACAACTACAAGACCACAAGCACAGAAGAGCCTTGAGACAGAGGCTACCGGCTGGGGCCGCCCTCCCTGGCAAAATTTTGTCCCCTCCCCTGATAAAACGTATATTTGTATAAAAAGGGAATCCTTGATTATATAGCTTCATGCTGTTAATAATGCAAAAATTCTGTAGAATATATGCTTTACTGCGCATCAGTGTGAAACCTAAAATCTTGTTTGCTTATTATTTGCGGCACACAGCTTGAAACACATACCTTTTCCAACCCTAATTATTTCAATATGTATTAAATGCGGGTTAGATGAAGTTTAAACTTTTTTACTGTAAATTTATATTTAAAAAAACATTAGGTTGTTTAGGTAATAGTCAGGAACACTATAACCAGTGAGAACTTTTATCTCTCAACATACCATATATAATTTTCAGTCCCTTTAGCACATAGGAATGTGGGGAGGGGGGGCTATACTTGTCCTACACTTGCACAGTACTTATTCACTCGCACTGTATTGTATAGTTCTTTTTTAGACATTTTTTTATATTTTGATTTCTAATCTTGGCATGGGCCGCTGTAACACGTTCAATTTTATGGGGGCACACATATTAGTGCCAAAAACGCAAGCTTCCTAGGGAGTACATGGAATGCTCCTAATCTCAAATATATTTGAAATTCAGGTTTCTGAAAGCTATATATAGGATTTACCCTTATGAAAAGTTAAACTAATGCTCACTGGGATAAATGACAGTAGTGTGATTGAAATAAAGATTTTAAACTAAATATGACCCAAAAATCTCTAAATTATTTGGGGACTTTGCCCCATACCCCCATTGGCAACTGTGCTCCCAGACTCCTGCTGCAGCTTGCTCGGGCACTCTGTTGTTTACCCCCCCAATTTCCCCTATCCCCCAAGCAAAATGAGAAAATTCATCAGTAGAAACTCAGTTTGTGTTTAATATATATAGATCACGCAGTAAGGCTTTTTTTAAATGTGTTTATTACATAAACAAAAAACGTCTCGGAGATTTACTCCATCTTCAAGTAGTTAAGATTATAATTTGAATTTAAACTAACGTGCGTGTGCATAAACGTTAAAGCTTGCGACCGTTATTCGCACGTGAGAAATTGCGTAAACGTATAAATGACAACAAGAAGATTACAAGAAGAGATTACTACGAACAGCAAGAGATTATACGCAGCTTTAAATATGAACTATGTCGTGAAGATCCAATACATACATTTTTTAACTCACTGCAAGAAAACCGAGATCGTTCCGAAATTTATAAGCGACATAATCCAGTTATCTTTAAATCTATTAAAGAACAAATCGATAGCGCGACACAGTAACAATTTGACATTTTCAATTCTCAACGACAACATCCGTAAACACCATAAAGAGTTGAAATTTATTAAAAATGAAATTGCGCAGAAGAAAATCGAATTAATGAATGAACTAAGTATTGAAGATAGAAGTAAGATCGACCATCATTTAACTGAATGTCTCGTGAAACTAAAGAAGAAAAAGAAATTAAATTAAACTGGGACGTAGGTTTGAATCTTTGTCATGCAATAATCACAATGGCAATGCACCGAATCTTTCTGACATAACTTTTCAGCTGTCAACCGATAACAACTTAGAGTCATGTCCAAGAGTTACAGTATTAACATCAACATCAGATCTATCTAACGGTACAGCAAACTTATTAGATTTGGGACCACAGTTCGTTCCTTTAATTAAAACCATTAACAAACGAACAGGGTTTGACGTTAATGTCCAATTGGCTAAACTCGCATACCGACTACGATGGAAAGAAATTCATCTCGAACAACCCTTGTAGAATCAAACACTATTTAATTGCTATTTCATTCCTATTTTATTGGGCTATTTAATTCCTATTTGTCAAATTATTTTCCTATTTGCTTGCTTGCTTGCTTGCATGCTTGCCTGCTTGCTTGCTTGCTTGTTTGCTTGCTTGCTTGCTTGTCTGTCTGTCTGTCTGTCTGTCTGTCTGTCTGTCTGTCTGTCTGTCTGTCTGTCTGTCTGTCTGTCTGTCTGTCTGTCTGTCTGTCTGTCT